GATAAAAATTAACAAAAGGCAGAGGAGGGTGGGCAGATGAGAGGAGATCAAGCAATGAATTTGTATGCATATATGCAAATCCCATGGACACAGACAATAGGGGAGTGCAGAGATGGGGTGGGGGACAGGGACAGTCTAGAAGGGGTCAGTGGGGGGGAAAGGGGACATCTGTAATACTTTCAACAATAAAGGTTTTAAAAAAACAAATGGGACTAAATCAAACCAAAAAGTTTTGCACAGCACAAAACAACAACAGCAAAAACAAAAATACCAACAAGACAAAAAAGCAACCTACCAAATGCAAGAAGATATTTGCAAATGATATAGCTGGTAAGGGGTTCATGCAAACTATAGAAATAACTCATACAACTCAACATAAAAAAACAAACAATTCAGTTTAAAAATGGGCAGCTAAAGAATTCAGAGTCAAAAATCCATAAGGGGAAAATGTAACAGGACAGGACAAATTCAGTTCAACTACAAGACACCTTCCATATAAAACTAACTTCATAGATATGAGATGATAATACTAAATGAGAGGGGGGAAGGACATGTAGTAAGAATAGGACCACAGTTGTTTAATTCAGCTTAGCCAGAATGCAATGGCAGCTGTTATGCTAGTTTTTACCAATGTCTGGATATCAGATGATTTAGCCTGCTTAAAGAAACATGTCTCTTTATGCTATATTCTTTTTCAATTTTAATTGAAAGTCTAACTTACTCCAGGCTTATGAGCTAAGGCTAACTTGAAAAACTGTTGTTTTGCTTAAGTTATGATGGACTGAAATTTATATCACAACTGGTGAAACACTCAGACAACATGTAATACCCCTATTTAGGACATAAACTGCAGAGGTTTTAAGCTCCTTCTCCTCCTCCTCCTTCTCCTTTTCCTCCACCTCCTCCTCTTCTTCCTCCTCCTCTTCTTCCTCCCCTTCTTCTTCCTCTTCCTCCTCTTCTCCTCTTCCCGCTCCTCCTCCTCATCAAGGTTCCTTAAAAAACAGAGGAGTGTAAATCCTCAGGGGCTTGGAGCAGTGTCACCAGCCTAAAATTCCTTTGAAGTGTCAGTTTTTTCATATTAAAATAAAAGAGGTTTTTGGATACAACTCCAGGATATGTTCATGTTTGTTTTGACTTTTCAAAATATTTTACATTGTCAGGTAAATTATGTAACTTTTCCTTCCAGATATTTTTGTCCTTCTTCAAATGCTTCTTTTTTAAATTTTATTTTTATTCTTGAGAGTATTACAGATGGCTGCCAGTTTCGCGCGGCCCCCCTCGCCCCTGTCCCTCTGCACCCAGCTTCCGCCCCAACACAAGCCTTCAGCACACTATTGCCTGAGTTCTTGGGCTATGCATATCTATAATAATAAAAGCATAATATGCAAATCAACCAAACAGCTGAAAAGCAGAATGACCATCTGGACTACCATGCTTATGACACACACTGGCCTCAGGCCAGCCAAGGTGGGTGCAGTGTGACTCCTTCGAGTATATTCTTTATTTGAGCTATGTCATTCTTCATTTCCAACCGGTTGTTTTCATGGTTTCTAAGCCCTCCTCCATTCTGTTGAGGTTTCTAAAAACCATTATTTTCTACTCTGTTTCTGATAAACTGCTTGCCTCCATTTCATTTCGCTCTTTTTCTAGGCATTCCTCCTGCTCTTCCATTTGGAGGCTATCTTTGTTTTCCAATTTTTGCTGTTCCTTTGTGTTTGTTTTTGTGTATTGCATAAGGCTTCTATGCCTCCCAGTCTTGGTGGGGTGTCCTCCTTGTGGAACCCAGTTTTGTAACCTGCTTTATCTTCTGAGCTGGGTACTCTAGGAATGTTTCCTGTGTTGGTTGTGTGGGTCCTGATTGCATTTGTGTCTTGATTTGTTGTCCCATTTACTGGGTAGGCTCAGTCCTCATTCTTGCTGACTGGGAGGCTCTACCCAACCACGTCATGTCAACTGTTATACAAGTGCTTTGTGTCTGCTATTTGTGGAACTCACTGCATTTTGATGTGATGTTGTTGGATCTGGCCCATTAGTGTGTTGTACCTGGGCCTTCTGGGAGGTTTTCTACTGCAAGTCCATGTGAGTTATTGCCTTTGCCTAGTCTTGGCCCACCTGACTAGATCACGGTAGGGCAAAAAGCCAAGCAGTCCAGAGGGTGGGGACTTGTAGCCCAGAGGCTAGGTCTGCCTCAAGTCTTTCACTTTGAACGTCCCTATTCTGAACTGCTCTCTCTTCTCCCATGGAACTGAGTTCGGCAGGGGTATCTGGGTCTTGGCCAGGAAGTTTTAAACAGACTTGAATAGGGTCAGCAGGCACTTCCTCTCCTTCCAATGCCTCAGCTATGCCTGGCTTTCTTCCAATCCCTTGCCACCATCCCAATTAGGAGGTGCTAAAAAATTAAAAACTCAGCCCTGCTTGTAACTCCAATATTTCAGACTACCCCCATTGGGAGTGGCCTCCACCTAGGCTCTGATAGGCCAAATGTCTGAGTCCCCTGTGCCACCAGAACAGCCACATGGGCACAGATTTCAAGCCCAGAATCATTCCTCCTTGCCTCAGGTTTCAGCAGGGCAGGGCAGTATCAGCTATTCTGCAGATGGGGGAAGAAACACCTTCCCTATGCTTGAGTTGGGCAGGACTGATCTTTCCCTGGATCACACTGTCCAACCTCCATCCTTCTCACTGCCAAAAGGTCTTCTAGAGCAGTGGTTCTCAACCTGTGGGTCGCGACCCCTTTGGGGGTCGAACGACCCTTTCATTGGTCAGCCCTCTCCTTCAGCCCTGAGTTCTACCATGTGGCCCCTCCAGCAGACACAGATAGGGGCAAACATCCCAGGCTAGTGTTGTAACAAAGCAATTGCTCTTTGCCTGGGCAGTCTGGGTCTCCAAGTTGGACCAAATCACCACTGATTCTCCCAGCCTAATGCTACATGGGCTTCCCTTTCCATCTCTGTTGCTCTGATTGGGGATCCCTGCACAGGGCTGAGACCCCAAGCCCCCAGGGGCATGGGCTGTGCTGCTGCACCTTCCCTCTGACTTCCCAGCAATGCAGCTGCAGAAGTTGGCTTACCTTCTCTGAGTCTCTTCCTGTACCCTCTCCTCGCTCCCCATTCACAATATTTCAGATCAGCTATACTTCAGCTGGTGTTTCAAGCTGAATGCTCTGCAGTTTAGCCACAAGTCTGGACCAGTGCTGGAAGCAAGCAGATGGAGCTTCCTGCTACTCTGCAGCCGTCTTGGAATCCTCAAGAAGTGACATCTGAACAAAGACCAGAAAGAGGTTAGACAAGCAAGGTGTGGATGCCTGGGGGAGGAAGGGCAGAGCAAGCAGAGGGAACAGTCCATGCAAAGGCTCTGAGGTGGGAACATGTCTGAAGTGTTGAGGAACAGTGAGGAGGCCTATGTGGCTGGAACAGAGTATATGAGGACAGCAGAAGATAATGAGGGTAGGAAAAGGACAGGGCAAAGTGTTCAGGGCCATGTGAGAGGACTTGAGCTTTTGCTCTGAGTGAGGTTGGAGTCATGGAGGGTTCTTGAGTAGAGCAGGATTGGTTCCTGACATGGGTGCTCACAGGCGCTCTCCAGCTGCTGTGGTGCATGAGGGTGGAAGTGGGAGATAGAGAGGTTATTGCACTGATCTAGGTGAGTGATGATGGGGGCTGGATGCAGGAAGTTAACCAGAGTTTACATTCCTACCATAGTGTAGTAGAGAGCATCAGGATCCCCAGCTCTGACTGTATGTATGTAATTCTGCATAATCTCACCCCACTCTAGCCTGTTTCCCCACCTGTAAAATGGTTCATGGTCCTTCCTCATTCATGTGTAGTGTGGAAAAGTCCATGGAAATGTCTGTGCTAGCTGCCATGGAGGGTCCTAATGCCCCAGGTACTCAACAGAGGCTATCAGAAATGAGAGATACAGAAAAGAACCCACACAGGGCTGACAACTCCAGTTTAGCTGAGTGCTAAATATTTCTTAATTCAACTCTAACTTATTGTGTGCTGCATATACCGTGAGGCCCTGACTTACGAGTTTAATTCGTTCTGTAACGGAGCTCATAACTCAAGTTACTTGTATGTCAAATCAATTTTCACCATTATAATGAATTGAAATGCCATTAATCCGTTCCAGACACCCCAAAATACCGCAATTGTTTTGTTAAATGTTTTTAAATAAGAAAAATGTATTTAAAGATAACGAATATTGTATAAAAACACAATACTGAACAATAGAATGTAGTGCAATAAACTTGTTTTATTAAGTTTAATGTACAGCATTTACCTTGGAGATCAAACGACTTAAAGATGCTGATGGAGTTGGAGGAGAAAGGCTGAACTGAACAACTTTTTTTGTTAAGTTTAATGTACAGCATTTACCTTGGAGATCAAACGACTTAAAGATGGTGATGGAGGTGGAGGAGAAAGGCTGAACTGAGTACCTGAATCTTATTTGCTGACTTTTGCCCTTTTCACCACGCTTTCATCACTTTCATCTACAGGAGTTTTCGATAAAAACCTGTCCAATGAGATCTGTTCCATCCTCCCTTTCAGAATATTTCTGAAATGAGTCAGGCAAGTGTCATTAAATAGCTCCATCGCACGCCCAGTTGCAATTTTTTCTGGGTGTTTCTTTTGAATAAAGTCTGAAAGTTTCTCCCTCATCCCCAACATTTCCTTTATATCATTTATAGAGATAACCTCCTCCTCCTCCTCCTCTGTGTCACCTATTTCTTGCAAAACTTCCGTGTGCTGCTGCGTCTGTAGCTCCTTTAGCTCCTGCGTTGTCAGTTCCTCGGAGTGCTCCTCAATGAGCTCGTTGATGTCACCTTCCTTTATATCCACGCTCGTTGCCTTACCATGTCTGACAACGGAGTGAATGCCGGTCCTCTTTTTAAAAATTTCGAACCAGCCCCGACTGGCTTTAAACGGCTTGCCCGATGCCTCGTCCATTGAAGTGCCTGGGGTCTCCTGCAGCAAATCAGCATAAATAGTTCGTGCCTTCTTGCAGATTATAGCCTTTGTCATGGTATCTCCTGCAAGCTGCTTCTCCATTAACCACACCATTGGCAGCTTTGCAGCACTGTCCTGTGCACTTACTTTCTTCAGATTCATGGTTGAAAAAACGAAGTTTTGCGAAATAACTGCAAGCACAAATGCGAGCACAACCACTTAAAGTGAACGAGTGAGACACGTGATGCTGGGCTGATGTTGTGGTGTTCACTGTGAAGTTCGCTGGGCCAACTAGTGGTGGGGTATCTGAAGCTGGCTCTTAACCCGAATTTTAGCTCACAACTCAAAGCAAAAAATCAGCCGAGAGACAGCTGTATCTCAAAAAACTCGTTAATCGCCCACTCGTAAGTCAAGGCCCCACTGTAATGTCACCCAATTATCTCTCCAGCCTTATATTCCACTTCACACACACACACACACACACACACACTCAGCTTCAGCTACACAGGCCTTGTTGCTCTTCCACACCAGGCACTCCTATGCCTCAATGCCTTTGCACAGTATTTTCCCTCTGCCTGGAATATTCTTCCCCAGATATCTTCACTATTGGCCCGGTGCACAAAATTCGTGCATAGGGGCGTGGGGGCAGGGGTACCCTCAGCCCAACCTGCACCCTCTCTAAACTGGAAGCCCTCAGACATCTCTCTCACAATCCTGGGCTGCTGGCTCCTAATCACTCACCTGCCTGTCAGCCAGATCACACCTAACTGCCCCCTGCCTGGCTGGTTGCTGCCAAATGCCCCCCTTCTGGCCTGGTCACCCCCAACTGCCCCTCACCCGCTGGCCTGGTTGCTCCCAACTGTCCCCTCATGGTGCCCCCATTGGCCTGGTCTCCCCACACAGCCTGCTGTTCAGTCGTTTGGTCATCCCTAACTAACACTCCTGCTGGCCTGATTGCCCCACACACCCTGCTGTTCAATCATTTGGTTGTCCCTCACTAACCACCCTGTCAACCTGGTCATATGCGGCCATCTTGTGAGGGCGTGAGGGTTAATTTGCATATTACCTCTTTATTATATAGGCTAGTTCTTGCCTCCTCACTTCCTTCAGCTCTTTCCTCAAATGTCACTTTCTGGAAATGGCCTTCCCCACCACCCTAATTAATTTGGCAACCCCAGCCGAACCAGCATCCTCCTCCCCCTTCATTAACCTGCTTAATATTCCCATTCCTGACATTCTCCACAACATTGTCATGTATCACATTCATGATCTTCCACATGGGAATGTCAGCCCCATGGGGTAGAGACTTTGCTCTGGCTTGTTCCCACATGCACCCCCAGAGCCTAGAACTGTGCCTGGGATGCAGCATTTATTGAGTGGATATGTGACTGTCAGATCTGTAAAAGGAGGAGAGTAATGATTATTCATCTCAAACAGTGTAAAGATGAACTAAGGAGCAACCTGTGAGGCACAAAGGAGAGGCTGAGACAGCACAGAGGCCCAGGGTGGGGCTGGGGGACAGTGCCATCACCCACTCCGGACTTTTAAAACTTGGGATGAGATTCACAATGAGGTGAAATTTACCATTAAAAAGTGAATAATTCAGTGGTATTCAGCACATTTACGTGCTGGGTGACCTCCACCTCTATCAGAACTTCATTCATTTTGGTGGCTGAATACTATTTCACTGTGTGGATGGATCGCATTTTGTTCATTGATTCATGTGTCAATGGACCCTGATTTGTTTCCAACTTTTGGCGACTGGGAACCTCACTGCAATGAACATGGTGTACAAGTATTCGTTGGAGTCCTTGCTCTCAATTACTTTAGGTATTTACCTAAGAGTTGAGTTTCTAGGTCATAGGGGAACTCTGTTTAACTTTTTAAGGAAGTGCCAAAATGTTATATACAACTGGTGAAGTGAGACCCCAATCTGATAGAGTGCTGGAGATGGGTTTACACTTAATGAAGCCCTTGCTCTCAGAATACATCACATCTTTCTGAGACTGGTCATGACCATCAGCACCATTGCCCAAGACCCCAAAAACCTGTGATAAAGGGAGGGAGGGTGGTCCACCTGGGGAAACTGAGGCACAAAGAGAGGTTGACTTGGACACTCAGCCTAAACCCCTTCCTTCTCCACCCTGGCCCACATTCTGGGACACCATTTAGGGTCCCTGGGAGGCAGGAGCATATTGTCACTGAGCACTCTCAGCTCCCAGCCCACCACTCTCAGGAGCCCTTGCAGAATGGGGAAGAGGCTGCGAGCTTGAGAAAGACACCAAAACAGCACTGAGTGTTATCAGCTCCGTACTGTACAGCTTCCTGTAGGGCACTGTCAGTTCCTCCACAGCCCACCACCTCCCCCTACCCCCCTAGCTGATGCCCTTCCCCACTGGGGCCAACCCCAGCCTGGGCACCTCTTTCCATCTCTCTTTCCTATTCTTCCTCTAACCCAGCGGTTCTCAAGCCTTGGGTCAGGACCCCTTTGGGGGTCGAACAACCCTTTCACAGGGGTCACCTAAATACATCCTGCATATCAGATATTTACATTAAGATTCATAACAGTGGCAAAATTACAGTTATGAAGTAGCAACGAAAATAATTTTATGGTTGTGGGTCACCACAACATGAGGAACTGTATTAAAGGGTCATGGCATTAGGAAGGTTGAGAACCACTGCTCTAACCACTTCTCATTCGAGATTTAAAGCATTTTAAAAGTTCCCCAAAAAAGTTTTACAGGGTTTCAGGTTCAGAGAGTCATTTTCCCATGACCAGCCTGAGCCATTTTGGCTCAGTGGATAGAGTGTCATCCTATGGACTGAAGGGTCCCAGTTCCGATTTCAGTCAAGGGCACATGCCCAGATTGCAGGCTTGATCCCCAGTGTGGGGCATGCAAGAGATAGCCGATCAATGATTCTCTCTCATCATTGATGATTCTATCTTTCTCTCTATCTCCCTTGCTCACTGAAATCCATAAAAATATTTTTAAAAAAGAAAAAAATATATTTTAAAAAGTTTCCCATAACCAGCTTTAGTTTACTTTATTTATTTATTTATTTTAAAGGTATAAGGACCTTCCTTCAGTCCCCCACCAAGAACTGGGACATGACCCTGCTCTCTCCCTCCACCACCTCAAATTTTGTTTCCTATTCTCTCATTCATTTTTTTGTTTGTTTTTTTGTACATCTGTATGCCAAAACCTTGTTACATTTTCTCTGTGTCTGAGCTTTATGACAAAGGTGAATTTTGTATGGGGCTCTGGGGACTTCATTTTGCTCAAGATTCTACTACAACCAAATCATTAGGTCATACCTTTTCAATATAGTTTAATTTATTTGTAAACTGTACCTCAGTAAAGCTGAAAAAGTAAAATTCTCCTACAAAATCCATCAAGTAAATTAATCTTTGTGCATCACTCGGTGATTAGAATTGAGAAAGGAGTATGTTGCTAAGACTCAGCCATCTCATTGCAGTTCCCTGTTGTTCTTTCTCACAGTTGTGTAATATTCTAATCCAATCTATCCAGTGGCTGAGGAAGCATTAAGGTTCCATTGAAGTCTTAATGGCCATCATGTTCCTGGGCTGCCTTAAAGATCAATGGTATGCCCAGATGATGGGTCTCAGTGATTGAGCATCAACCTATGAACCAGGAGGTCACAGTTTGATTCCTGGTCCGGGTACATGCCCGGGTTGCTAGCTTGGTCCACTGTGTGGGGCATGCAGGAGGCAGCGATCAATGATTCTCTCCTATCATTGATGTTTCTATCTCTCTGTCCCTCTCCCTTCCTCTCTGAAATCTATAAAATTTCCTAGAAGCAGAGGGCACTCCAGGGTGACAGCTCAACCCCTATTTTCCTACCACAGTAGGGGCTTGGGGTGAAGGAGACAGAAACATGTCCCCGCCCAAGGCATCACAGTCTCTTGCTTCTCTTCTCATCACTTTGGGCTCCGCCACCCGATCTCTACGTCCACATTCAAGCAGACATGTTCCTCACCCTCTGCCCTGAGATTCCCCAAGTCCCAATCCCAGAAACTCAGAAGCCTGGGCAAGTCTTGGGGATCCACTTAGGAGGCACACATGTGGACCCCCACCCACACTCTGGGGGCTCTGCCTTAGGCCAAGGACCCAAATAGCTCAGCTTCTATACAGGGTGTCCCAAATAATGTATACACAATTGAACAGCTGACAGCTCAATTTTGAAAATGAAATGTATTTTATTGAACACTGCCTTTATAATTATTCAAAGTGTGTGTATACATTCTGGGGGGGGCGGACACCTTATATTTAGGAGTTCCCTCAGCAGTGCCAGGGAACTACAAACATGGCTCAGCTCAACACTGCCTTCCAACTCCCTAGGCTGGGCTGGGCTGGGCTGGGTGGGGGTCAGGGCTCAGGAGGATGGCAGCTGGGGGTGGACAGGGTCTCACCAGGAGTATGTAGTCAAGCGGACTCTGACAGCCTGGCCTGGGGGAACCCAGGTGTCCAGCCTGCAGGAGGAGACAAAAGGTCCATTGACCCACCTGACCCTGGGTCTGGTGTAAGAGCTGGCCAGCAGCCTCAACCCTCTTTCTTCACTCTCTGGTGATTCCTGCTTGGGGACAGCTGTCTGGCCTCACAATAGCTGTGTCGCCGTCTGGGGGCTTCCTCTTATGTTCCCCTCCATCCGGAGACTCCAACTGACCCTCGCCTCACCTGGGGCTTGGAA